AACAAGAGCAACGTGAGGACAAAAGTGAGGGATTACACGCACTGCTTAGGGAGGCCTGCTTCCTCGCATCAGCCAGGGGAAGGGTCACTGCATTGACCCATGTCGTGCCAACAGTCAGGTTACTTTTGCACAAAGCCGGGTAACAACAGAAACTGCAGCCTCGGGAGTGTGGCCGGTTCACAGGCCAGGAAGATTAACTCCATCCCCTGTCATCTTTGCTTAGTTCTTCATCAAAACTCACGTGACTTTGGTCAGAGGTGTCACACACAATTATCCAAACACTCCAAAATTATCAAAGATGCTTCCTCTTCTACAGCAGTATGACTCCTCGTTAGAACTAATGATTAGAACAAGCCCCTCAACTACTGAAGTAGGAAAATACTATCATTTTGTAAGTGAAGAAATGTGGGACCAATCTACACTGACCTGCCTGGCACACACGATATGTCACAAGGGGCAGTTCTGAGAAGGCTGCAGCTGATGGCGTTTGCTTTTATTTGGGGTATTTACACTACCAGCTCAGGACTTTCATAAGAAGAAGTACTTCTTAGTGGTTCTTAACAGTATGAGATGGAAGTTCAAGCAGGTAACTGTAGATAGTAAGGCATTTCCTCAGCAAAGAAAACAGTAACTTCTGTGTAACAAAGAGGCTTTTCATTTTAACTCCTGGCTCCTTCAAGCTGGAGATGTTTCAGTATTCTGTGATGGTTTGGGGTTTACTGCGGTCCTAAGATCTTATACGTGATTTCTGAGGGGAATGCAAGAAGGACCGGTTCTTCTTTCATAAGAAATTTACCTCAGTGGAGCAATGCCAATTTATATTAGACAATGATGTGGCCCTGGTTTCTTAAGTAGAAAGTTATTTTTCCCTTCCTGATGTTTCCACTGCTTGACCTTTCAGGTTTGCGCAAAATTTAATTGTCCCCAGATGATAAAATAAGTTCCGAGTTCTCATCTTTCTGAGACTTTGTATTTCCTTATGGACATCTGGAAGATTTCTAATTTAAGGAGATCAATGGCTCAGCGAGTCACACTGCTCTGCTGTGTGCACAGATGAGACCCCACTCAGAGCATAAGTCTGTTCCTGTGCTGAGTGACTGCAGGACAGGGCTTATCTCCATCACAGCGTCCCCTTCCTAACAAAGCAGTTTCCAGAGCTCTTCCAGAGATTCATAATCGGTCTATGCAAAGAGACTTTATTAGGAAAGGACAAAGACAGACCCTGAAAATAAATCCTGAGGCCACGCTACTAGGTGCATAGATTTTACCATCAGAAGTGAATGCCCCTTGTGGCAGGCACAGAGGACAGGAATACTTCTCTGGGAAGCCAAAGGCACATCAAAGAGATTTCAGAACTGCACAACGGTACCAGGCATCCGTGCAGCAGATCTTCTGGGATGTGAATCTCCTACTGCCTCGAAGTATTCTGGGAAAACTTTGAGAGAAATGTCCTAAGAGGCATTTCACCTCCTGCTTTAGTGAGGAGTTTTCTCACTGGATAAATAGGAAATTTCTCCCTTTTATCTGCAGCCTTATGATACAAATACAGTGCAGTACTGAGTGGAAGTTATTTACCATTAGATTAAAGTTTCCATTGCCAGGATAGCTCAGATTTACAAATACTCTCCATGGCAACCTGTTACTAATACCAGCTCCCAGAACAACCACTCCTGAAGTCTGTAGTAGCTGACCAGTAACCTCTCTGAATAGATTTTTTTTTTGTTTCACCGCCGCTCTCAAATGGACAGATGTTCTTATCATAACAGCAGGATGACATCTGCTTCCCTTGCGGTTAACCTCTGCAGACCAGATGGTGCATAAGACTGAGCAGTGGAAGTGGTTATAGCTCCTGCCAGATCATGTCTGAAGAACGGTGACTGGACAGAAGGAAAAACTTTTCCGTTGTTTCTCATTCCAAGTTGTCCTCACTTTCACAATATTTTATAACGTTACATCTCTGGACTTCCCCATTCTTTAACCATGTCAGCTCTCCAGCACTCAGAAACCTTGATCACCTATTTCATCAACTTTTTTTTAACCATCTCTGCATTCTCTCATATTCATGGAATGCTTTAAAAAACCTAATTCACAAAAGCATTAATCCTCTCCTCTTTCAGCTCATTCCTCAAGGTCTACACCCACCAGGATATCTGCAGGAAATTATAAGCTAATAATAGCTCTGCAGAAAACTAGTGAGGATCTTGAAAATACTTTAAAATGGATCCTATGTTTGAGTCATCTTTATCACCCTCTGGATTAGATGATCTCTTGACTGGCAGATGTCACCACCATGCTTTTTAATCTCTTTATTAAACACTGTCATGTTTCTACATGGATCTGGGCTTGCAAATGGCCCATCAATTTTAGCTCGTGCGTGGACTGGAGAGACGAAGCACAGCAGAGTATGGAGTGTTATCTCCACTACACCCACAGCTGAGAATGTAAAGAAGGTTTGAACTTCAGATCCTGGAGGCTTCCATATATTTCAAAGCCTTTTGGGACTTCAAGCTTCATCCTCCTCAAACCCTGATGGGCTTCACATGCCTCTGGAAAGCCAAGGGTACAAGGCAAGTTTTGCTTGCACAGAGTCATCAATCCAAATTGACTCTGGAGGTTTCTATGAATTGCTCCAGAATTGCCCATAAGGCAACACAGAGCAAGGAAATTGGCACTGTTACTTAAACAAAGACATAGAAATTTTCATCAAATGAAGACATAGAAATTTCCATCGATTTCTTCTCTTGTGCTTCCTTCAGGGAACACTGTAATTACATTAAGGTCAAGTTTGTTCATGGTAACATCCTTTAAATCCAGACCAGCTCTCCTGACTTCAGTGGAGTTAATATGGGTTTACACAAGTGTAAGCAAGGATGAGATCTGGTCCTAATTTAGGACACATCTGCCAGCACAGATGGAGCTGAAAGAGTTTATTGTCATGTTAATTTTCTACCTTTGTTTGAGATTCTTCTGTTCATGGAACAAACCCAACAATTTTAAAATCTCTCAACGTTATCCCCCCTTATTGTGTTTAGTGAATTCCACCAGAGCACAAGATGGCCTTGTACTCAAGTAAGTTATGTTGGCTTAAAAGAACAGCCTCACGAAAAAGAATAGCTAAAATTGTCATCCCGTAACCCCTTTGAAAGGTGATTAACTTTCTGTGACGAGCAGCTCTCTTGACATACTCCTAACTGTTGTAAAATTAATTGTCTGAGTAACGGTTTGCATGACAAGCCCAAGGAGCAGTTTGCCACACTCCTCATCCAGGTAAAACTCTTGAGAAGGTCATGCAGAGTTTTGCCTGCGTAATAAGTGCTGAATCTATTGTTTGATGGCTGTGGATCTAAAAAAAAAATTAAAGATTGCTATCTTTAAATCAAAAATTTTGTTGTGATTCTGGGCCTTAATCTGTTGATTTTTAACATTGGTATTTTTATCTGTTGTCTGTTTTGATGCTTTAGAAAGTGAATGAGGGAGCAGTGCTTTCTTATCAAAGTGGGAAGAGTGTTTAGTAGCACATACAAGTGGCTTGCATGCCATGAAGTAGAATATTTCTTCTTCTCTGCCACCCAATATGTCCTGGTGTCTTATTTTTTTGTTTGTTTGGTTTGGGTTTTTTTTTTGTTTTTTTTTTTTTTAATTAGGCAAATAACATGTCTATATTCTGTCTTAAGGAATAAAAAAGTCACTGCTGATGTTCTGGAAGGGTTACCTGCCCAAAGGATTCAGGGTCAAGAGATCTCATTGTTCTTAAACTTTGCTTTTACTGTGAAATCAGAAACCTTACAGGTTTTGTGCTTTATTACTTTGCTTTACGGGATAAAAACACTCTTGAGCAGATCAGTACCGAGTTTGTGCAACTAACCCCCCTAGTGTAAATGTAAAAAAATCGGAATCCTAGGAATAAAAGACAAAAGGGGAAGATCTTTTCTTCCTTAATCTGATTTACCTAAGTATTTATGCCAGCCCAGGCTTAGAGTATGTTGCAGCGTGAGAAGGAAAAATACAACTCATTCTTATTCTATAGCAGTGCAAATCTATGGTAACTCCTGTATTGGGTATTCTCCCTCAAAAGTCGTTGAGAAAAAAGTCAAACCAAACACACTGAGCTGAAGATGACGTGCAGAATTTGAAACAAAACACATATGGGGAGGAAATTGCATTATAATCATTTGATTAAACATTTCAAACAGATTTCTGGGGCCCATGGCATATCCATAAAGGAGATGGATTTGGTAAAGTAACTGTAGTGATATTAGTGTAAATCTGGAGTCGCTGCAGTGACATCATGTTAGCAACATTAATTCTGTAGAATCTTGCTGATAGATATTTTTCTCCTCTATCTATTTTAATTGGATGATTAATAATTTTGTAATCTGAGCTCTTACATAATAGGACATTTGTAATAGCAACTACTCATCAGGAATACTCGCAGCTGAGCGATTTGGTACAACAGGTCAGATTCAGATTTCCCAGTGGTTTGCTCTTCACGTAGCTGCCCTGAATCACATTAGGGTTAACCAGAAGCAGAAGGCTTATGTTTTTCAGGTTGTAACTCAGGAAACACAATTCAGAAGGCAATTGTAACCTCTGTTAAGACTGCCCAAATTTAGAGCTCTGAATCAGAACCATCCATGATGCAGGGTTCAGATATTCAGTTCCAAATTTTCCCTAGATGAGTCAAAAGTTTTAGACAGAAGAAGGTAAAGAACAAAACCACCTATCAATGATACAGGTGGGGAAAAAACTCTCTTTACACCTACAGCATTGCTAAGAACTACATCAGTGCCCAGTATCAGGTGGAAATCAAAGCTGCAGCTCCCTGGGAGCAGATAGTAACGGGGGGATTGGCAGCACCTGAGCAGGAGGGGCAACAAGCATATAGGGAGGTGCAAAGGGAGTAGATCGTTTCAAACCACAGGGACCTTGTGGGAAGGAGGAGGTGTGGTTGCCTTCAGGGAGGGAGTGGATGGGGAGCTCTTCGGTGGGGGCTGCCTCCCAGCTTTCTTTTTCATTTTGTGACAGGTTTCTGGAGGGCTCAAGCATGCGTGGCTGTTGGGCTGTGTTAGCCTTTTGCTGCTTGGGGCAGCTGTGTGCAGGTAAGAGGCACCTGTCTGCAGTCACCTCATCCTTTTTTTGTTGTTCCTCTCTTCGTATCTCTTCTGTTTGTCTTATGGTTTGTCTTGGGTGCCAACTGCCTGCTCCAGGATCTGCGTAGGGAGGTAGGTAGGTTTAGGGCTTCAAACGTGTATTCTGCTGGAATATTGTTAAAGTGGGAAGGAGGAAGAGCTGTGAAATAGATAATTTTCTCCAGCAGACTGGACATGGGATGAACTTGTGTGAGGAGGGAAGAAATGTCTGACATAAACTTCACTCTAATACCACTTGCGCTTTCCAGGGCCTCTCTCAGACAGTTTTCCTTTTTGTAAGGCAAAAAGAAAAAAGGAAAAATTTTTACTAAATCTCTCACTCTGGATGATAACAAGTCTGGTCTTAAAAACCTTATTAAGACTCTTTATTTCTAAAGGATTCAAGAACTGATTGTACTGCTTCTGGTGCTTCCACTGAGGGGTGTAAGCTGTACGTGGGACCCTGAAGACAGAGGTTCAAGTCTCCCCTATAATGAAGCTTTGCCTTTGTCCTTCTGAGTTGATGTGACCCGTACGTTTGAGGAGCAACGTCTCTTACCTCCCTCTCTAAATCCTTGAGTTCCCCATTTTGCATTAAAGCAAAACCCCTAACTCTCAAACTTTTACAGGGCAGGTAAGCTGTTTCCTGCTCAGCTGCAGTTCATGTCCCCTTTTATGCTTTAATGTTGTTTGTTAGCACTGCCAGATCCTCCCTTTCTGGTCGAGCTTGTAGTGGGGGAGAAGAAAGATTTTTTTGGTACACCTTTATGTAACTTTCTCTTCTAGATCAAAGCATGAAGCCTCGGACTGCAGCCCCTCAGCTTGCTACAAATAATCCCACTCTTACTACAGTTGCTCTAGAAAAACCTTTCTGTATGTTTGACAGCTCGCTGTGCCCAAATAAATCTTGCATCATCTACTTGTACGCAATGAAGGAATCAGGTGAGTATCCAGCATTACACCTCTCTGGGAGATAGCTGTGTGTGGCCATTCCATGCAGTTCTCCACAATTTGATGGACTGGGTCTGAACAGGGGAAGAGAAAAGAATCTGTGGGTGTGAGCTATGTACAAACTGAGCTTCTGGTCTCAGTCTTCTCTCGGGTGCTATTATAAAATATAATATAAATAACCATAGTATTTCAACGGGGCTGATTAATGAGAGCAAGTGTCAGCGCTGTGCTAGCTGACTCCCAGTAAGTGCGGAGCAGCACTATCAGCCATAAACATTTGCCCGAATTTTGCTAATGAAACCAAGCAGTCCACAGTCTGATAGCTGATCTTTGTCTAAACATGAATGCCTTGTATAAAAACCTGAATTCCCCAAAGTAAACCTGCTGAGAAACTGGGTAATTGCTGCTGTTTGCTACACAGGGTAGCCAGCCCTTGCAAAGACTTAATTTTTTTTTTTTGTAGACAAAAGCAAATCATCCTAGACTTGTGGTCAAAGCTGCCTGGCCCACGGGTTCATTCATAAAATGAATTTCATAACTGCTTGGCAAAGAAACATTGCTGGCAGTGACCAAGAGCTGCCTTCTCTGTTCCCTGCTGTTCTGGCAGACTGTTTTGAATGCCAGCTAGAGCTACTCCATAAGCTGACAAAAATAATAGTTTCCTGATATCACGCTTTCTCCCCTGAAGGCTGTATGCAGCCTCCTTTTCTGAGAGGCACAGAGGAGACATCTTGAGGGGAGCAGTACCGAAACTGGCCAACAGACAGAACAGTCTTAAAACTTCCACTGCTGGTTGTTTTCCCTTTGGACAAGGCAGCAGGAGGAGGCCATGGATGGGCAGAAGCCATAACCAGAGGCACCATCCCATACAGCTAACACAGACAATTGTGAACGCACAGCCTTCTGAGACATCCCATGACTGAAGTACATGCCTTTATATATCTAAAACAGGCTATAAGTGCATTATAATCATATAAAAGGCTACTAACACCTAAGTTATTCTTGCAAATATGATGTTTTGTGTTAGAAATTATACCAACCACCCCATCTTCTGCAGATCCTGTGGCAAAAGCTTCCTATGCAGGCGGGTAAATCTCTTCTGCTTTTAAGGCAAGCAGATGCAAACTTGTTACTTGGCAGACCGGGAGGAATTTTGTTTGGATTTGTCTCTGGTCTGTGTGGAGAAGCACATTGGCTCACCCCTGGATGCCTCCTGGAACAGGGAAAAGGAAAATTTAAGAGAACTTAATTTTCTTAACACCTTATGTTCAGCTCTGCTAGTAAGGAAATGTGTCAGCATGCTACAAAGCTGAGGGTGTAGCAAATTTCTGAAGTAGTAATCTAACTTTTAGCTCTATTCTTGTTACTGTTGCTATCAGACTTGATCTACCTAGTAAAGTTTTAAAAAAAAACACAACCCAACAAAAAAACCTCCACAAAGTGAACTTGCTTAGGCCTCAGCTCTTACTTGCTCACCAGAGCCAGACCAAGAGTTACTGAAGAGGAGACTGGGAGGGCAGGAAGACCTAGGTGTGAGAAGTATTATAATTTGGGGAGGCAAGCCCAAGAACAGAGCACGTCTTAGCTAGTATTTGCTTTCATGTTATCAGGTCCCATTGAAGAGGCAGGTGTCAGAGCTCAACTAACTTGAGTTGTATTCCTGACCTGTGCTAGAAACTTTTCCCTTTTAAAACAGGTTTAATTTTGCATTGGCTCATAGCTAAAAACTTCTCATGACCAAGCAGCTGCAAGAACTCTGCTCCAGAAGCACAGCAGAATGCTTTCAGACTGAAGTAGTCTGTAATGTACTGCAGCTTTGAAAAGCTGGCATTTCTTTTCTGCTGACAGCTGGATGCGCCCCCCCCCAAAAAACAACAAAACCACAGTTGCAGAACTTGAGAGCATCTCTTGGGACTTGGGCCTTGACTTTGCAACAGGAAAGGTTTGAGCTGCAACTGAGCTTCCAAACTATGCTGTAGGGCTGGGCGCAGATTCCAGCTTTGCTTGAAGCTGTGAGGACTTTCAGACTTTGAGGTGTGATGTGCCTGGCCGGCCAGAAATGTAGATACTGCATCTGTTCGCGCAGCCCCTACGCACTGGTCTGCGTGCGGTGCGGTTCTGGGAGGTCCAGCTGCTGCGTGAGGAGGTCCCAGGGTTTCTGCTCCAGGAGATGGGAGAGTTGTGACTGTGCAGGAATTCTGTCTTAGCTGTAGCATCAAATCGGAAATGCCAGGGTTTACTGGATGTTTATTGGAGCCACGTGTGGCATGGGGGAAGAGCAGCCTTTGCCAACGTCCTCCCTATTCCATTAGGGATTTGTTATTAGATTAATAACAGATAGTATTAGATAATGTGATTAATTTTGAGAGGGTGGCTACTATAAGTATTGTTCTGAGATATACTGTGGATCCCTCAGTTTGAGGGACAAGTGTAAAGAGTTTCATCAACAAATAAGGAGGAAGGGATAGGATCACTACACAGCCAAACCGGTAGCAGATTTTTGTTTTCCCTTTTGAGTGTTTTGGGGTAGAAGAACAAGTTTCCAAATAGCAGGTGAATGGAAAGGGGATAAACTAGTTCTCACAGCCCTGTTAAAGAGCATCTCTCCTGCAGCGAGTGCAATAAGCTCCCAGGTGACCGACAACACCAGCAAACCACTTGACAGCACCTTCCACCAAACAAGCGGGGGGCAGCTCGGCCCTTACAAGGCTGCCTTGTTCAACGTGCCCGACTGTGCATCGCCTCCCAAACTCGCTGACCTAGGAGATGTCAACAAAGTTTCTGATATCCTGAAACAATACCTCTTCAGAGTTGGGGATGATGTGAATTGTTTATATGACCCGAACTTTCTGGCTGTCTGTAACCCACCTCTTGCACCGGACACAACGTACAGGTATAATTCTTATTTTCCACAAGGTGACTGCTGCTCTTAAAATACAATAGGAAGCAACACTGAGCCCGGAATGTTCCTTTGTAATGGTACGATATGAATTACCAGTGCCTAAAGGAAATGCCCCCTGTTGCGAGAGTAGTTATGAAGATGGCTTTGGCCTATCACCCTGCAGATGGTGCCTGAGGGTGCCCGAGCAGTGGTGAGCTCTGTCAGGTTAAATTCATGGATCAGTAGGAAAATTCCTGTGGGAAGTGCTGGATCTATACCTGTGCTGGAGTAAGTAATCCAGAGACAGCATCTGATTAGAAACTGCTGGCAGAAAAGGATTTTGCCTGGACAATGATGTTGAGATTATTCACCATGTATTTTGTGTTAGATGATTCTGCCAAATTGCAGACATGGATCTGGCTCTGCTTGCTTTGTTTTGATGGGATTCTGGGGAGCCAAAGTTCTCCTTGGTCTCCAGCTCCAGGAAGCCCCTAATGTTACTGGAGCCTTCACAGTGAGGGCCAGGTGGCTTGCAGACTTGTCTGAGCCCCGTTTGGGCAATTCAGACACCCTGACAGCTGTTACCCCAAACACTTGTTTTGCTGTTGCCAGCTATTTAAAAGCTGTAGGACAAAAGGCAGTCACATGAAGCCGTATCTGCTGTGGAGACCTAATATGCTGCTGAAACAATAATATGGGCTCTTAGTTTTGCAAAAAGTTGTCTCTTCAGGACATTTCTGGAAACCTATTGTGGGATGGAAACTTAATTTCTTTGCCAAGCCTGATGTTGGCCTGTCTCTTCAGTACTCTTCTCTAGCAGGGAAAGTGCCAAAAATCTCTGCTGTCGGACAAAATCTTTGACTTCCATATGGAAATCACAACCATTTGCTGTCCTAAATAATGAGGCTCTTCCCAACAGGGAATAGCAAGTTAGGGAAAAAGTGTTGTTGGAAAGCTATCATCTGCCAAGGCTCATAAGAACAAAGTGCAAATTATGTATGACATTGCACAGAATGCATTGCTGAGATTAATTCTTTTTGTTCTTTATAAGGTCTCTGGAAATAGTCAGTTAGCTCTGACTGTCTCCATCTGCTTTGACAAAACCTGTGGTCTGACCAGCTAATCCAGTAGCTCAAAGATGCTAATAAGGAAGCTCAAAATTTAAAATATTAATTTAACACTTTTCCCCCACAGGTTTAAATACGTATTGCTAGATAGCACTGAAGGTATTGTGAAAGACCAAACTCTCTGGTCTGATCCAATCAAAACCAGAAAAGGTAAGTCTGTGGCTTTGCTCGGGTCTTCTGAGCAGCTGTGCTTGCTAGCACAATATTAAAATAGGACACTACTCTTAGCACCTAGTCCTTTCCTAAAGCTTTAACAATTGTCAGCCTTTCAATATTGGAGTAGCAGGCTTAATGTGGACTAATTTTCTACTACTTGTGTACTTCAAAAAAATTATTTCAGAGAAGTTTGTACATGTGGTTTCAGATTTGATGCGTATCGTGGTTTCTGGTGCTGTTGGCATTTCTCAGTAATACAAATACTTGTCATGCTGGCTAACCTGCTGAGGAAAGCTTAGAAACTCTAAATGCTGATGTTGAGTCTTAAACCATTTCTCATAAATCATCTAAGATTTCAGGTATAGACATAATCACTTTGCCTCTCCTAAATCACCAGCTTTCTCCTATTTGAGGGTGATCATGGCCAAACATAGATCACAGGACCATTCTTGCCATGCTTTTTCTAGTTAAACTTCCCTTGAAAATTGATACCTGGCCTGGTCGAAGGAGTGGAGACATGATTGTCATTACATCGATCCTAAGTGTTCTTGTGTTCCTTCTGCTTGCTGGCTTTCTTGCTTCTGTGTCCTCTGCTGTCATGTAAGTATTGTCACCCCTTACAACTTCCAGTAAGAGTACCCAAACCTTCAGTCATCAGCCGCCTTCCCTATGGCTCCAAGCCACTGCTGTTTGTTGTCTTTGAAATACAACCAGATGGTGTCCTCCAAATTTTGAAGCTGATAATGGGAAAAGATTACTTTATGATAAACTTCCCTAAGATTGACAGCTCATGTAATTATTACAGAGCCTTAAGCTTACTAGGTGCCAGACTTCAGTAAGGACTACTGGAAAAAAAACAAACAAAACAAAACAAACAATAGAGTTGCACATACTTAAAACCTGTATATTCCTTCTTACATATTGCAACTTTCCATCTATTCAGGAGTTTGGAAACTAGAGTTTCCAAGGAGTGCAGACATTTGTAAAGATTACATAAATTAAAATCAAGGCATTAATTAGGACATTATTTGCCTCCTCCCTGGAGGAATAAGTTACCCCTTTCAGTTAATAAGTGAGGCCTTACCAGAACTAACTAGTCTATGCATGTTCCTGAGTCATCTATGCCCTCTGCCCCAGGAAATCCATGAGGCCTGATGGACTTCTAAACTGAACTTTTGGAGGGAATAAATGAAATTTTAGAAATGGGTATCAGACCTGCTAACACCCAATTCTTTCATTGACTTGAAAATGATGCAAGTGCTCTGTATTCAGTCAGGTCTGTCAGGCTCTCCTGGATTAAAGATGTGGAAAGCAAAAACTGCATTGCAAATGATTATTTTTTAAAAAAATAAATCTATGGGCTTCTCTGATGCCAAGTGATTTAAGCAGCAAACAACCTTTGCAAAATGTTGTGACAGTAAGTTCCCCTCAGTCTCTACTGGAACTTAAAGCCTTTCACTTGCCCACCAGGAGATCAGAAGATTCTTCTGCAGAGACAAAGTGTGTGTCTCAGACGATTCAAAGTGAACCAAGACCACAGTTAAGCTCTGAGTGAACCTGATTCAAGTCTAGGGTGGAAATCCAGCTGAACTGCTACATGTGCCAGACCTACAGGACTGTCTCTCCTACTCCACACTAGTCCAAAACAAGCTGCAGAAAACAACCAGACAACTGAAGATGAACAGCAGAGATGAAATAAGGACAACTTTTTGGAACTCTTGCAGTACATGATGTCTTGCCCTAATGAAATTTGATTTAATTGCCTTGTATAGCACATGTCAAATGCCTGGACTGAACAAGGAATCTTCACAAAATCCTTCAACTTCAGTGGTGTCATCAGAGGTTGTCTAGTACATGCTTCTCACCTGGAGTAAGGATTACTGCAGACCTCTCATCTGCTGCTCATGATCAGATGGAGATGATGTAGCCCTTTGTCTCAACCTTTCTCTATACTGATGAGGAATAATGAAAAAGTGGCTGCTTTAGAAAAAGATGTTCTTAGAGAAAACTAGGGATTAAAAAGTAGATAGCAGGGAGCTACTGATGCTTCCTCAGGATTTTAGTGACTATCAGTGTCATAAGACTTCCCTCTTTTCCTGTCCTTCCCTAAGAGAAAGCAAGCAAGCTCCAGTTGTATGTAGCAGAGTAATTCTGATCTCAGTTCTACCCTCAGCTTTGCAGGGATGAAAGCTAACTAAATTGTTTCAGAGAAGGTGTGTTCTTTCAGAGCTCTGTGTAACTTGCTGTGGGCTAGTGAAGGGGCAATACTGCTTTAGTGGGACACATGAGTGTATTCACTGTTGTCAGGCTAGCCTCGTTCCTCACCTTTACCTTAGGCACCTGCAAGCCAGCACACTTCACATATTATTAGTATTTAGACTGGTGGGGTTTTTGAGCTAATTTTCTTCCTTCATTTCATGGTGACTAGAAATAAATCTTTGTACCAGGTTTGCGTTATGTGTTGCTTTTTTCCCTTGATGCCAACTTTCACACAGAATTCTATCTCTACAAAATACTTGAAGATCCAACCCCAAAGCCCTACCTTATACCTCTGGAGTATGTATAAACCACTTGACCTATTGTAGCAATCACGCACTTGTGACAAGTACAGAGCTGCCACTTATTACTGAAGTCATCCTAGCTTAGCAGTAAATTCCTTAAACTGGCTCAGACTATAAATAAATCGGGGTTCTGTTTTGACATAGGTAGTTCACTATCACAACTGGATGATCTTGCAGTGATACTTGTTTGAAGGAGTGTGACTTATTCTCTTCTGATTATGAAAATTAAAAAGTTTTGTGTAAAGCCAAACAGTGTCAGGATGGAGTGTTGAGACTGTAGCTTGGTGATAGCAAAATTTCCCATTTTAAACTTTGGGATTTAGGCCTAAGATTTGTACAGAAGCTCTCAGTGTTTGAGTATTCTACCAACAGCCTGTTAGAGCTTGCCTGCTCACCATTTTGGTTTCAGCTATGTGAGGGCTGGCAGGGAGAAGGGTGAAAGCATTTTAAGGGAGAGATGGGTGCTGAGCCTTCTGACTAGAAAGGGATGTTGAAGTACCTGGAATTATATTTCTCTGTTGTTTAGCCTTAGGTGCCTTCTCTGTAATTTTCTACCATACAGGCTGCTACAAACACCACTCTGAGGTGCTTTCTCATTCATTTATTGGGTGCTCACTTGGAAGCAATGGATGCTTGAAGAAAAAGGGAGTATAAATTGTAGGTGTGCAATGGTGAACGTTAGAGTACGTGAGAGATCCTTGGAGTGTTGGCCTCCTTCATAAAGCCAAAGTGGTACTTCATTGCTATAGAGGGCTCTAACTGCTTGCTCTGGACCCAGTGACAAAACAGGCTCTCTAAGAGCAGTAAAATTGGTAAAGCTAAATAAATATTCTTTCAAATGCAGACAGTCAGTACCTTATTTTGGATGCTACATCAGTTAATTCTATTACTGGAGTAAGTTCCCCTTCATTTTGTTTAAAGGAGTTGCCTGGGACTGTCTGTCAGCATGTACAGCAGTCATTTAAAATACAGCACTAGAATAATCCAATCTGTTTTCTGCCAGCATCTATTAAGACACTTGTATCAAGCAGTCTGTCTCTCACTCAGCAGATAACTGACTTCAGTCAGTTTAACCCTGCTAATGGGCCTAGCTGAATAGCATGTGTTTTCTTCTTGTGCTTCTCTCACATCTTTTATCTAAAAGATCTTAATTTCTTTATGGAAAAATTCAGAATGGATTATTTTTAGGGTGGTTTTTTTTTTTTTCTTCCACACAAATGAAACAGAATTAACAGTCTCAGTTGTTCCTGTATTGACATGCATACAGGCTTTGGGTTTTTTCACTTTAGTTTTTCAAAACTTCCCCAGTGTTCCTAAAATTTGTGTGACAAAGAATTCCGCCTTTCACCAGCTTCAGATCTTAGGACATTTCTTTCTCTTCTTTCCCATGTTCTTTGAGAAACTCAAACATACATATTATGATTTTTATCAAAATTTCCTGTTGAAATAAAACGTCCTGTTAAATATTTTGTTGAAAATGACAACTCAAAATACATTTTCTATGCAACCCTCCTTTTAGAGAGGGAGAACTATGCTTGGGGCAGCTTTAGCTTTTCACAAGATCTTGTGTGTCAGTATCCACTTGTTGTTCTGTGAACTGTGTTTCAGGACTGTGCCCAGTCACAACAGTAGTCGTGATAAATACCAGAACAGGGTCACAACTACTTTTGCTTCTCCATATGGTATTTCCATTGATCTAAGTACTGAATTCTTTCTGCTCTGCTTTTGACTTCTCGCTGAAGAAAGGGTATGGAAATTCTTGTTTGGAGCTTACCAGGGGTATGTCTTGATTCTTATCCTGGTCACGTAGAAGAAATTTCAGACAGACTTAAACATAGACTTCTTAAGTACAAAGACCTAAGAAACAAAGAAATCTGTACAATTGCTTCCCACGCCTCATTATTTGAAGGCTTAAAGTTATTTGCTATCACTTCTTCCTCAAACCTTCTAACGTACAACAACATTCAAAGATGTCAGAAAATAGGACTTATTTTCTTTAACAAAGTTGACTATATTATCTGCATTATTACTATAACCCAAAGATGGATGTAAAGGATAATGTAGAAAGTCTCCCTAGAAACTTTAATGTAGCATATTTAGAGAAAACTTCCTGAATACTACATAGATGGATTTTGCCATGTTTTTGGCTGATCCGCTGATTGATAATTATCTTCCACATGTGGTAAAGAAAACTCAGAGAATACAACTCTGCTCAGGGGTAGTATGTTGTTTTCTCATATCTAATTGATAAGTACCTCATTATATTGGTCTTCTTGCAATTGCCCTGCTTCTTTCTAGGAGAAGATGCTTTCTAGTTTCCTCATCTATCCACGGGCTAGAATTTATCAACAGAATCCATGTCATTTCATTATTGCACCTAGTCCTATGGTACTTTATGGCTAAAATAAAGCACTGGCTGAATTCAGTTAGTCTCTCCACTGATTTTTGTTTTCATTTTTTTTAAATAGTTCTTTTATCATGACTTTGGATAATTATATATATATATATATATATATATATATTTTCTTGAAAACACAGTAAATTCTTTCTGGATGAAAGGAGTTCTTTAAATACAATGGATTGTTATTTCCTTAATGGCATGAGTAACTTTGGGATAGATTCTGTTCCACGCTTGCCAGCATAATCCAAGCCAAACCCAAGCCCATCTGTTTTCTCTGCATTTGCACAAGCATAGCTGAGCAGCAGAAGGTATTCAGGACTGCAGCGCTTTCTCAGGAAACATTCCCCACTGAGATGTGCCTAAGGTTTGAGAGAACATGCACAGTTGGGATCAGTTTATCAATATACAATTCCTCCCTCCCCCTGGCATCAGCACAACTGGCTAGAACCCAGCTAAAACACACCAGGACTAGGCCTAGGGAAGAACATCACTCTGCAGTCTTGCTGAAATGGTGGATCTGCTCTTGGCAGCCGCAGGAGAACCCTAGGGTTTATCTCAAATTTGGCTCAGGGAGAGGAATTCTCAGCTTAAATGTCAGTAAAGAGTCATGCATTACTGAAAGCATGAGGTAATTACAAGAGAATATGATGGGGCTAATTCTACATGTTCTTGCATCACTTTTAAACTCCAGTTTAATTAAGAGTTTGAGCGTGAACCTAGTTTTAAACATCTGAGTATTGGAAAAAGACTTTTTGATACACAGAATTCTACAAAAAAATATTGCTTTAATCAGAAATGTGTTTTCACAAGGGAAAAAAAGAACCTGAAAAGTGTCAATGAACATCAAAACACCTTGTCCAAATTGTTAGGGGTTTGTTTGGGTGGGGTTTTTTTGGCAGTGGCAGCAGAAATAATTTCCTAACCAGCTGAAACAGAGATACCAATCTTTTTCTAGATTTCTGTCTATCATACATTTGTGTGGAAAAGAATTTGCCCTAATGTTGTATCTTATTTTCAACATTGCCTTTCTGTCCAATTATAAGCAAAATTTTAGCAACTAGAATGGTTATTTATATTGGTCATATTCCCAAAACTATCCACTTCCTTTTCAGTTTACACACAACCACCAAGGCAGCAGTGGAGCTACTCTTGCAGTTACAATTGCTGTGACAAACACTTCACGTTTGTCATGTTTATTTCTGGATTCACAGGTGGGTTTGAACTTATTGGAGCATAACCAAGTATTGCCACCCTCACAAACACATTTCTCATCTTCAATGAAAGTCAAAGCAATGAAAGCATCTTCCTCATCTATTAGGAAGTATTTCTTTGCAGAAGGGGCTGTTGGGCGTTGGAATGGGCTGCCCAGGGCAGGGGGGAGTCCCCGGGATCCCTGGAGGGGTTGAAGAGTCGGGCTGAGCCAGCGCTGAGGGGTCTGGGGGAGTTGGGAACGGTCAGGGGGAGGGTCATGGTTGGGTTGAAGAAGCTTCAAGGGCTTTTCCAACCTCTATGATTCTATTAAATCAAATGTAGAGGGCTTTTAGGAACAAGCCTTCTCTTTTTTTGGTCTTCTTTGTTCATGGGCAATAGCCTCTAAATTGTAAGGCCCAGATACACCCTGCTCTACACAGAGGTGAGACCGATACCCATCCACTCTTCCCACCTTTCATTTCTACAGGAAAAACACACCCTTATT